CACGCGCTGACTGGCCACTGGATAGGGTCCCCCAATGGCTGAATGGTCTACGAGCTCTCTTGACTTGTACCTGGAAGGTCCTGGGTTAGAAACCTAGCGGGTGCATACTGTGAAGACTTAGTCCGAAACTAGGCTAACGAAACACACAACAACACTAAAGGTGACATACCTACCCATATTCCCCATCGCATATTCATACACACACACACACACTCACAAACACACATACACAATCATCATTCAAAATTTGTACTTCATTCATTTCAACTTGTCCATACTGAGGGAATAAAATCATCATTTCGTACAATGTGACGTAATTCAATGTTCAATATGCACTTTAGACAAAAATCGTTTTCTCTTCCTTATTTTTTAAGTTATTTTAACAAGGCAACATATATTAATTATTCATGTGGTTAATAATCCACAGAGATGAAATTTTAAGAATCTCCACAGCCTCACCACCATCATCATCATATGATTTACGCTGCTTTCTTTATTGCTTACTCTTTTTTTGGCATAATACTTGAAAATTTGCTTAAGTGTCTGTAATTTAAAATGATTGTAAAAGGGTTTGTGTGAAGCATTTTTCATTTTTAAATAATCTTATTAGCTTCATTCATTACTGCGCTCCGAGTGATGTGTTTATGTGTTTGACACACAGCTACCCTGTGACTGACTGACTGACTGACAGGTTTCAACGTAGAACTTTGCACAGATGTGCAGTAGTTCCACCTAGTTGCCACACTCCCCTCCATGTAGTACACACAAAGCAAGAGAAGAGAGTAAAGAGATTCTCTCTCAAAGAGAGAAAAAGAATAGTAATATGGAAGAACAGCAGAGTTTTATTGGATATGATAAATCACGAGCAGTGGTGAATGCATCTGCGCCATTGTCGAGAAAGATTTTGAGCCATATCATCAATTGTCTCCAGCCGCCACCATTAGTTTTCACTATCTTGAAGACTCCAACCAGGAAGTCCACACCTCTAGACGTGGTTTAAACCAACTGTTGTGGATTTCAAGTATTGGTTTGTAGGGATTTGGTTGATTGGTTACAGGATTTCATCATGAGCTGACATTGGTTAGACAACCATTGGAAAACCACCGCTCGAGTACTGGACAGCTGTTTCGTCCTAGTTTGGGACTCTTCAGCAGTACGCACCCACCGGGGTTTCTCTACAGAGTACAGTAGTTATTAGTTTGACACCCAATATTCCCTCTTTTTTATGGGCTGATTAATAAGAGATCTAAAAATGCGTCTATTGGCTAGGAGTCGAACTCCCACACCACATGAATGGCTGGTCAGCATTCTCTACCAATCAACTACCAACGTCTACTAATTCAGAATAACTTGAATAATTGTATAATATAAGAGTAACAGTGATCTTCACTCTCCTTAGCCAGGGAGATGAAGACTAATCATACCGCTGACTGATAGATGTAAGTAGTCGCATATCACTCACATGAATGGTTAGTGTATACTAGCCTGATCGAAGTGATTTAAACATTGATTGGCCTTTTCGTTTGTTTGACTCGTTTGACCAAGAGAGTTGAACCAGTTCAAGCCATCGACGTCAGCTCATGATGAAATCCCCCAACCAATCAAATCAAATCCGTGCAAACTAACACCTGAATATCAATCTTATGCTCACTAGTGACTGGCCCTATTCAGGTAGGTAGTCACCTGGATTCTATTGAGAATGAGTGACCAGCCAGTGGATTACAGCAGGCGGTCAGGTGTGAGGACAAATACTCGCCAGCAATGACATTGGCTAGTGGTCGTTGGATATCGTCAACTGGCAGAAATTAGAATTCATGGACTGACTGGCCATTAGATCAGGTCTCAGTGACTGAATGGTATACGAGCCAGCTAGCCTTTGTAACCAGAAGGTCCTGAGTTTGAACCCCAGTGAATACGTACTGATGAAGAGTTAGTCCCAAACTAAGCTCACGAAACAGCTAGCTATCCAGTACTCGAGTGATGCTTTTCCAATGGTTCTCTAATTGATTTCATCTCATGATAGGGAAACACCAGGAAGTCGTAACAAACCAGTGGGGTACAGCAAGTGGTTAGGTGTGAGGACAAATACTCGCTAGCGATGATGAAATTGGCTAGTGCAGTGGTCGCACCATATCGTGAATTTGCAGAAGTTAGAATTCATGTACTGGTCATTAGATTGGCCAGTCCTAGTGGCTTAACGGTCTAAGAGCTAGCTCACCTTGTAACCAGAAGGTCCTGGTTTATAACCCCGGCGGGTGCGTACTGCTGAGGAGCCCCAAACTGGGCTGATGAAACAGTTGGCTGTCTAGCAGTACTCGAGTGGTGGTTTTCTAATGGTTCTCTAACAGATTTCAGCTAATAGTGAAACCCTGTAATTATTTATTTCCCAGCATAAATTTAAGAAGGATTGATGAATCATAAAAGAAGCCGACGTATGTAAGGCATAGATCAAAAGCTGTTTACCTGCAGGATGTAATATACTACTGATTATCTGATACAAGTAGTTGGAGCCTATTGTGGTGAAATTTCAACTGGAAGTGCCAAAAATATTACATATCACGAATTAATTTGCAAAGTAACTAACTTGTCACCGTTTAACACTAGTAGTTGTAGTAGTTCACAGCTTAAATCAAATCTGCATAGCCCAAAGCTCGTTATGAAAAAAAACTGGTTAACACTGATCATTCCATCTCAACAAACGCCTCCTGCTTCAAAGTAATCTACAGAGTCAAGAATAACCTAACCAAAGGCAATAAATACAGTTTCGTCTTCTTAGTATCGCTGAAGCTCTGGCCATCCATTCACATAGAAAAAACCAGAGCTGTGCATACAAAAGAGAATTAATTATTCAACCAACTTCTATTATCATGGTAACATCTTTGTTGATTTTTGATGACTTAATTTTGTTTACTTGCCTGTTTCTTTAATTTGTAAAAAATTATATTTGTAAAATCTCAGCGAGATTGAAATAAGTAATTCCAACTTTTCCTGTGTTCAGCAATCTGGTCCGAACTTCTTCAGGGAAATTAATGGAAATTAACATAACAACAGAGGTTTGTATATAAAAACGGGGATATCTCTTGTTTTTAGAAACTTTGTCCAATCAGATGAGTCACGAAACAGGTATCAACATGCAAAATAAACTAAATTGTATGATCTGTGATCAAAATTTGACCTCTGACTTTCAAAATTAGTCTACATTTGTTAAACAATTTAAACAGAGTGTACTTTTATTTAATTGAATTTTAGATTTTCCCGTCCATTGATTGATTGGACCGAAGTGCTCGGTCTCGGGTTGACATGTCGGCTTCTTGTGCAGATGTCTCGACGATGTCTGGGCATGTAATTAGAAGTTAATTGGTGGATGGTAACTAGCAGTAGTGGAATCCAGAATGGGCATTTCGTCCTATTTGGGACTCATCAACTGGATGTACCTGCATTCCACACTGAGTGAGTGATGATTTTCCCACCACCAAAGCTCGAACCCAGTGCCCATAGTTTCAAACGCCAAATCGGGTTATCCACTAGACCACTTGGGCCACGAGAGCCACTCCACCTCTTGTACAACGGGTCCCAAATAGGACGAAATTCGCTTTATCCTGGATTCCACTGCTAATCACCATCCACCAATTAAAGTGCACTTTTTATCAGATTACGTTAAACTAAAAGTTCATGGTCGTAAATAACTGAATATGAAGAGTATATATGTATTTATGCGGTATACAATGGTGTGTGTGTGTGTTTTGGGTAAACAATCATAAAACATTTGTTAGCCACTCCATAAGAAGACAGTTTTGTTTATTATACATGTTGATACCTGTTTCATGACTCATCTGATTGGACAAAGTTCTTAAAAATAAGAGATGTCCTTTTATATACAAACCTCTGCTGTTATGTTAATTTCGATTTATTTCCCTGAAGAAGTTCGGACCAGATTGACGAACACAGGAAACATTGGGATTACTTATTGCAATCTCGCTGAGATTTTACAAATATATTTTTTTTACAAATGTCTACTTCTCACTCGGCGCCCAATTATATTTTAGAACTATTCAGTCAAATCTTGATCACAGTTCACATGAATGTTTCTTTAATTGCTTATAATTCTTGTATATTCATTTAAGACCTCTTACGTAATTTCGTATTCTCTACTTTGTTTTCATATGCGTAACCTGAGTACAACTCAATCATCAAACTATTCATATTATATTACGTAACTCCATTTTAACAACTGTTTGTGACAACTCAATACCTTTGTTACTACACTAGTTTCATTAACACTCAATTTTCTTGACCGTTTTTGTATTACGTAACCCTACACAAAACTTATTAATTTTCACCTGTTTAGTTAAAATAACCCCATTTAACTGTATTTTTGTTTGACAAACTTAATGTACACATGCATACAAAATAACTCGTATATATATTTGCGAATGTACAGCTAAGGGGAAAATGAATTCGCCGCCGAAAAGAGACTTTTCGCTAAACTACATTTCTTGTTTTCATTAATGCCTGGATGGGGATTATTCATGAAATAAAAATGAACAAAGACACGTTTAATTGAATTTTAGATTTTCCCGTCCTATTGATTGATTGATTGAACCGAAGTGATCGGTCTCAGGTTGACACGTTGCACAAGAGGTGGCTCTCATGGCCCAAGTGGTCTAGTGGATAACCCGATTTGGCGTTTGAAACTATGGGCACTGGGTTCGAGCCTCAGTGGTGGGAACATCATCACTCACTCACTCACTGTGGAATGCAGGTACATCCAGTGGCTGACGAGCCAGTCCGAAATAGGACGAAATGCGCTTTATCCTGGATTCCACTACTGCTAGTCACCATCCACCAATTAAAGACACGTTTGTTGAACAATTGATTTACAAGGTAAATAAGTGTCAGGCTAGGCTAGGGGGCCAGGCCTGGCATTAATTAGGAAAACACACATAAAGCAGCAATCACATATAGAGAGAAAGAGAGACTGTTGAAATCTTTCAACTTACCAATTTTATATAACCTTTTGCTGTGACAAGCATATTCTCTGGTTTTAAATCACGATATACAATTCCATGACGATGTAGATAATCTAGCGCTTCAATACAACATGCCATACAAAATCTTGCTGTACGCTCTTCAAGATGATGACTATTCAAAAATAAATGAGAAGAAAAATCAATAATGAGAGAGAAACAGAGAAAGAACGAGAAGAAGACACAATACAGCTAAATAAATCCAACAAGTTATAGATAGATACCTGAATAGCTTTCAGAATATCAAGTATTGGTTTTGTAGGGATTTTGTTTGATTGGTTGGAGGATTTCATCATGAGCTGACATCGGTTGGAAAACCAGTACTGGAGTAATGGACAAATGTTTCGTCAGCCTAGGTTTGGACTCTTCGGTAGTACGCATCCACCAGCAGGGTTAGAACTCAGGACCGTCCAGTTACAAGGCGAGCTAGCTAGTAGACCATTCAGCCACTGGGGGACCCTATCGAATGATCAGTTGATGAATTCCAACATCTGCCAATTCACGACATAGTGAGACCAATTCACAATGTCTGCTTCGATGGGTAACTGTCCTCACCTTCGACCTCGTGTATCTTACAAGTCACGGCTTCCGACTTGAACCCCGGGTGACTTATTGCCTGAATAGGGCCAGTCGCTAGTGAGCATCAGATCACTTATCAAGTATCGGTTTTGTAGGGACAGTTACTCATCGAAGAAGACATTGCTAAGTGGTCGCGCTATATCGTGAATTGGCAGAAGTTATATTGGGTCCCAGTGGCTTAATGGTGTAAAGACTTGTCTTGTAACCGGAAGTTCCTGAGTTCCAACCCCGGCTGGTGCTTACTGCTGAAGAGTTAGTCCAAAACTAGGCTGAGGAAAAAGTTGTCCAGTACTGCAGTGGTGGTTTTCCAATGGTTCTCTAACTCACGCCAGTTCATGATGAAATCCTCCAAATTTCAGATTGTTTAAGTTCGTTTTCAGCTTCCCTCGGTTGATTGATTATAGATAGTGCAGCGAAACATTCAATCTCTGGTTGACATGTCAGAGCCTAGTACGGAACCTTCAACGTTGTCTGAGGATCAACCTGATGTTATTTGTTGGATGGATAGGAAATATAAATTAACTTAAACAAACAATAACTGACACTTGTTGCACAAGATGTAACTCTCATTGGCAAAGTGGTCAAGTGGATAAGGCTTTAGCGTTTAAAACGATTCCAGTTTCAGTGGGAACACTATCAGTTACTGGGAATTGGAGGTATATCCAGTTGATGAGTCCAAACTAAGACAAAATGAGCATCTTGGATTCCACTGTTAGTCAACATCCACTAAAATAACTCCTGAACTGATCTAGAATTGAATCCAGCATCCATCATTTAAAATGTCAAAGCATTGTATATTAAGGAATTGGTATTTTTATCAGTGAATATGTTATCTAGACTGATTGAGTAACGTCTTCTCAAATGATTATACCTACATGCATACATACACGCATATACAAACAAGTTCAGTTGTTCTGTTGAACTCAGTTATGCAGAATACATCTTTGATCTGTTTTGAGCTTTGTGAGTGTAGAACTAACTAGATGGAGTGGGATTCGAACCCAAGACCTTCAAATTGGTTCAAAACTTTCAAATAAAGCTCTATGAATAAAAGCCGTAGAATTCACTTAAGTTTTTTTTTCACTAACATTGTATGCTACGTCACGTCATAAAAATACTAAAGAATACATTTTCAAGTTAAAATATACTACTTGTAAATAGGATATATAAGTAGACTACTACTACTACTTTTTCTTTTTTTATTACAAATACTTACCTATCACGTAATATAGTCCATAATTCACCGCCTAAACACGCTTCCAACAGCATATAGACATATTTATTATCTTTATATGTGTTGTACAACCTGAATGTTTCATGGAGAGAGAGAAAAAGCGTAAAGGAAAAAGACAAAAAAATACCGGTGAAGTAACAGCAATTGAGAATCAATTTATGTACAAATATATAAATGAGGAAACAGGCATAAAATGGACTCACACAAAAAACTTGGAGGATCTGGACTTCGCCGATGATATATGTCTGATTTCCCACAAACTGGAAGATATGCAAGCGAAAAGCAACAAGTTGGCAGAAGAAGCATCCAGAGAAAATAAGACTTCAGGTGAACATAGAGAAAACAGAGGTAGGTGATGAAGATTCCTGGCCAACACCACCAACAGCAACAACAACAACTGACAAAAATCAGCATAAATTGAAGGAACCTGAAAGAAACTACCTCCTTTACCTACCTGGGAAGCATCGTTTCAACTACAGGCCGAACTGACGAGGATATCAAAGCAAGAATCGGAAAAGCAAGACAAACTTTCACTACTCTCAAGTCTGTGTGGAGGTCAACAGCACTTCTCAGCATCAAAAATAAGATCCGGATTTTCAACTCCAATGTGAAGTCAGTCAGTGCTACTATACGGATCAGAGACTTGCACTGCGCGTCATAAAGAGCATCTCAAACAAACTACAGACTTTCATTAACAGTTGTCTTCGCTCAATATCAGATGGCCAGAGTTGATCAGCAACAGAGATCTCTGAGAGCGAACCAACCCAGCAGGAACCGATTGTGAAACAAATAGGCAGGAAGAAATGGAGATGGATTGACTGGCCATTCTCTGAGGAAACCATCAAGTGACATCACTAGACAAGCCATTGCTCGAGTGGAACCCGGCTGAATGGGAAGCGGTGAGTTGGTCGTCAGTGCAAGGGTGACTTGGAGAAGGTTATGTGTAGAGGAGATGAAAACGTGTGGGCAGGCAGACTTGGAGCTAGGTGAAGACTCTAGCAGAGAACCGAACGCAATGGAGACGCACGGCTGAAGTCCTATGTTCCTCCAGGAATTAAAGGAAATAATAATAATGCAATGAAGTTATGTAATAAGCGGACGATAACTATTCAGATTGAAAAGAGTAAAGAAAAAAAACAACTAGCAATTGAGTTCACTACTTTTCAACGTTTTAATTCACCCCACCCCGCCCCATAAACAACCTGGTATAGACAAGGGTGGGTAGACAGACTTCGGTCATCCTCTCAAAATGCTCTTATGCTGCCAAGCGTTCGTTCATAGTCTCTCCCACATAACTTCTATTCATTGCCTTCACGCAATGGCATAGGTGTTCCTCATAAAAGCGATAGGGCAAATGTAAATGTCTGGCGCTTACAACCGAAATGATGGACACACCAGTGGTTTCTACCTAGGAAAGCTGGGAAACCTTGATTCCAAACACCTACAGTGTATTTAGGTTCTAGAATCCGTAAGGATAAAAATAGCGTAGAAACCTGTTTTGATCATCAGAAACAATGGCAACGTAACTCTGGATGCTGCCCCACAGACTTCTGGATCAGGCTTCGAGTCCAAGACCCGGAGGAGGGTGGTTCATTAGGACAACCGCCTGCTTCTGTCTGGGCGTCCGAGCCGCATCTTAGCCATCGCACAAAGTATGTCGTTTTATTATTTTGGTGTGGAGCATCTCTTGGTGCCCATAATGTACCAAGTTTAGGTTTTTTTAATAGTTATAACCTTATTAATTCTATATTCTGAACACCTGTAGCATAAGACCCAAAAAATTCATTCAATAAGTTGCAGATATTCGAATAGTCAAGACAGACTGATAAAATAAACTAGAGTGGATGATGACACTTGTCCTACAGACACACAGAGAATATGTCTATTATCGTGGTTATTGTGCGTCGGTGGTATAGCGGTTAGGACGCTCACCGACCATGCACATGGTCTGGAGTTCGAACCCCGGCCACTAGACGACGCACTCCTTTACCTCGCTAAGCCAGAAATAAGGCTGGTAAGGAGGAAAGGTTGGCTAGGTATGAGGCTGGCTAGCAACCCCATCCTGTAAAAATAGTCATCACTGCTACAGAAACTTCAAGCCACTAGCTTGAAGCCTTCTATGTTCCACTGGGAACGTGAAGGAATAAAAAAAATCGTGGTTATTAAGGTTTCTCATTAATGATATCTATCTTTCATACATTAGGGTTAATACACCTCCGATGTGTAATCGACAATCTAGATCGAAGCCTTAGGAACTAGACAGAAAGAAGATAGATGTTCAATGACAACACTAAAGTATGCTCAACACTTATATAGTTTTCAGTGTAATGTAGTGTAGTGTAGGCGATTTACACCATACTACTGAGGTGAGAGCTGGCTGCTAGCCAAATTTTTTTATTCTTTCACGTTCCCAGTGGAACATAGGCGGCTTCAAGCTAGTGGCTTGAAGTTTCTGTAACAGTGGTGACTATTTTTACAGGATGGGGTTGCTAGCCAGCCTCATGCCTAGCCAACCTTTCCTCTTTACCAGCATTATTTTCTGGCTTAGCGAGGGAGGTAAAGGAGTGAGTCGTCCAGTGGCCGGGGATCGAACCCCAGACCATGTGCACGGACGGTGAGCGTCCTAACCGCTGTGCCACCGACGCACAGCTAGCCAAAAATTGGTAGAC